GCAATCCTTATTTTGTACTATTTTTTATTTTATTTTTTAAGCAAGTGAATGCGATTGTGTGTGTGTTTGGTGTTGTGCGTGTCCTTGTCATGTTCAACGGCATGGGCAAGTCGACGCCCGTGTTCATAGACCCAAAAACACGCCCCCAAACAGCAGTTTCTGCTGCTTTTATAATGCGGTCTGTGTGCACCACAACAAAAAATATAAATAAAAAAAAATATATAAAAAATATAATGTCCGCTTATATAGCAAGCTTTGAACTGCAGTTGAGCGTTAAACTTAATGGTCTTTTCTACTTCTTAATTTAAAATAAACCGCTCAGGTTAAACATATCCATTTGTTGTACACACAGGTGCGTAAGTGATAAGAAAACATCATTAATAATGCCAGTATTCATTTAAGCTGGGAAACTATTATGCTAGGATTAACCGGTTAAATTCTTCTCGGATATTAGCATTTCTCCGAAACTCGACAATATCTAACAAATATTCTAAAATCCCGAAATGAACCACTTATTTTTCATTGTTTTTTGGATTTATATCCGAAACACTTAGCAATATTTACATTTTAGTCTGTTAATGGTTGAATTTTATGACGCCAACAAATTTTTAAGACTGTCAAAACTTTGCAATTCATAAGTATGTGAAAATATTTTTATTTTGCTGCCGGCGTGTGTATTTAACATCTTTCACATAACTGCAATGTGTGAAAATTTTCAAGAATGTTAAAACTAATGTCGCATTTCATGTTATGCAATTAATCTTACTAAACACATAGAGTGTTGACCGGCGATTTGGATAGCTGCGTTAGGGGTAACCAAGCGGCAAGCTGCAGGAAATGTTGACAACAATTTTTGCACAAAATGAGAACAGCGGCAGCAGAGCAACAAAATAGAAAGACAATCGGACGTCTAACAGGAGAGGATGATGAATGAAAGAAGATGAAAAAATATATACACACACACACTCACATGCTGGTAACATCCCTCCACTTATCCCCCACAAAATGAGAGACACATATGAAAGAGAAAAAACAAAAGACGGTCGTGCTACAGTCGCTATTTGTTGTGGCATTTTGACAATTTGGACAGCTGAGTAGTTGCAGGTTTGTGGCTAAGAAGTGTGCAGATATCTGCCAAGGAAAAAATACACCGACGGCGAATACTTAATTATTTCTCCAGCTAGCAAACTGCCATTTAGTGTCATGAAAAACTATGCTTCACAAGAAATACGAAAACCTTAGCAAAATGTGAACCATTTCTTACGAAGGGCGGGGACGAGAATCTGAAGATAAGAGAACAATGCATCGCTTAACATCATTTAAAAGGATTAGAAAAATTAGATGACTGAGATTAGAAAGAGTATTCAAACCGATGAATGGAAGTAACTGAATTGTGTAGCAGAAATGATGAAGGTAAGGAAACCGAATAAGATTTCAGAACAAAGTAGAGATGGAGACACAAAGGCTAAGGACATAGGTAGCAATGGCAATGGTGCAGAAAAAGGATAAACAAAATGTGGGAGCACAAAGGCGAAAAAATAACAAATTATTATGGTAATGGGAAAATATAACGGCCCGGGGAAATTATTTCAAGAAAATAAAATTCGAAAACTGAAAAGAGGAGATAATAAATTATTTTGACCAAATATAATAGCATCAACTTATTTTTCTTAGGAAATAAAACAAGAATGGAGAACAAATAATATATTAAATGTCGGGCCAAAGTTTTATAACATATATTATCCATTATGGATATGTTGCAATATTTAAAACTATTGCAACAGGTGGAAAATAAATTCAAATCAAAGCTTAAAGAAATCAAGTTTTTCGGTTGTATGTTAATATTATTTTATTCCCTCTCGCATATAGTTGCAATAACTTATATCTGTTGTGTGTGTTTTTTAGTCGCAAATTATGCTCTATAAAAACTTTTGCTTCCCAAAACTTAGTGTACCCCTCTGGCTGTTAATAAAACGAGCCACAGTCTGTTTGGGCCAAGTGTGCCACACAGATTTCGTTATGCAAATGCCGGTTGGGTTTGGTAAAGGCAATGAGGAGCGGTTGGAAGCCACATCAATCAGTCAGAGATTCAACCACTTAAAAGGACATTTCACATAAATGTCAACACTAAATTGCTGCATACCCAAAAAACACTCAGAGAAAGATAGAGATAGAGAGAGATATATTTATAGAGGGAGAGAAAGACACACACACCACTCAACTATTTGGCTAATTTATGTCTGTGCGTTGTCCTGGCACGTGGCAAGTTGCAAGTTGCAAGTCGTCGGCAACCGGCAGCTGGCAACTGTCAGCTAATGCAATTGTTATGACAGCTTAAGCCAGCAGCAGCAACCAACTACTCATCACCCCTTACCGCCAGCGTACCCAGCCACTATTGCGCATAAAATTTGGCATTGGGTGCAAACTGAGCCAAATGTAGTACATGGCAAATGAAATCAAAATATATACATAGCCATGACTAGACCCTAAACCCTATTGATAAATACGCAGCAAAAGCTATAATGAAAACAACCAATCAACAAATGAAAAGCATTTTCCTCGTTGCACTGCCAAACATTTTGTGGTCTTCCTATTCCTCTGTATCTCTTTGTGGTGCACTCGAAAAATCAAAGTAAATTAAATTTGACAGCATTGCAAACAAGATCAGCTTTTTGTTACAAATCAATAATGTGCAAGGCAACAACAGTCATTCAAGTACTTAAGGCAACCCACACCACAACTACAACACTTTACCCACTTAATAACATTTGCAACATTGCGTATAACCAATGTGGCAATTTGTATGCTGTCTCATATGTGTCCCACTAGATATTTAGGGCATGAAATCAGCACACACACAAAGCAACAAATGCTTTTGATAGCTCAAAAGTAACAAAGTTGTTTACTTTGCTATTTTGTGCTCTAATAAATTGTTGAGGGTAGAATTCTGACATTTGAAGTATTTCAGACAGCCTCGTGATGAGAGATAGCAAAATATTAATCTATAGTTTTAAATTAAATTTAAATTATTAAAAATATAATATGCTTCAGACATTTATTTTCGTAAGAAAATATCTTTAATTATATCATCAATGTTACTATGTTTGTATTACGGCTCAATGGAAAATACGAAAAAATTAGATTAGATTAATTTAAAGTATTCATTCATTTCTACGAGGTTCAATTATATTTATATTTTATACGTATTATAAATGCCTTAAGTAATTATTATAAGTGGCACCTGAACCACTTTTGTTAAGTTAAGTGCCACAATGCGAGTAAAACTCAATCAGGCGAAAAAGCTGATAAGTCGCAAAGTGCGACATGCGGCGTATGCTTAATTTGTCGCCCAGGGGGGTGGAAATAAAGGTGCCACACGCCTCTTAAATGCTGAGTAATTGAGCGTAAAATTGTGTAAAGGTCAGTTTTGTGGATGTGTGCAAAAAATTGCATAAGTTATTGTCATTGCATCGTTGTCGTTGCACTCCACATAATACCAATTATGGTGGGCTTTTGGCTCAGTTGTTTAAAAACTGATAATTAAGTTGCAAGCGTGAAAGCGAAAATGAATTATGAAAAACTTGTTTTTGGGTGCTCAACTTTGACGTGGCTGCCAGCACAATTTGCCAAAGTTTTACAAGGTCCTATTTCGGGGTGGGCTTTTCCGACGACGTCCTTGACAGGTTCAGGGTCAATCGTTATTCCAGCTATTTATATGATTGACTTGGCCTTATCGCAATTTATATTTGAGTACTCGTATTCGTATTCGTTCATGTGAGACACGTCTCACCTGTCCCCAGTCTCATACCCAGTCTTTATTCCTTGTCCGGTTCGTGTCGCTTTGTCTGAAGCTATTCATATATTGGGCGTGGGCCTGAGCACAACTGTCAGCGCTTAGGTTGTGTGTGGGTGTGTGTGGAAGTGAGGTGTGGCTTTAAGTTAAATATTGTGGTCGCCTTATTGATTATAGCTATGCATAATATTTAAAGCTGCTTTTTTGAGGTCAGTTGTACAATGAATTTGTAATGCAAACAGGTCGACTATGGGGATTGCTTTAATTTTTTATTTCAAAGATCTATGGCTAATGAAAACGGGAAGCTGGAACAGAGTTCAGATACTACTTCTATTTCATTATTTTGATGTGTTGTATATGTTTCAAGTATGTTAGACGATAGAAGCCAGTCTATATTTGTCTAATAGATAATAATCGAATGCTGATTGCTCATTTTGAATATGAAGTGACATTACTTGCGATAACAGTTCTTACCAGGCATTTTACTATGCTTATCATTTATTTGCGTTTCTCGAAAGTAGGCAACAATATTTCTCATAACAACTGAGTCATTAATGGGTGCCCTAAAATAGTTCCCCCGCTCTTTATTGACAAGCTCGCAAGTAACCAACGAATGTAAACAGAATATTTTGGTAAAGTGAGTGAATTTGATTTCTTTTCAAGTGGGCAATCGGAAAATAGAAAGGCAGAAGTCAATAGTACGTTAATTTGCTGTGGGAATGATAAGATATTCCTGATGAGAATCCGATTTGAATTGTTGATTATGGTCAAGTAATTGGAAAGATTGTGCGCAAAGTGCGAATTGCACTTGAAAGTGCTCGAAATGAGCAGGTGACACGAGAAACCCGATTAAATTTTAATTTATATCTTATTTATTATATAGACTAACTTCATATTACTGACTTAGAGAAAGCTGGCAATAATATTACTGAATTTGAAAAAGCTGCTATTTTACTTAAATTATTTTCAATACTGGCTACAAATTACATTACAATATATATTATGACTGATGAAGATAGTTTTATACATATTCTTCTTTGTATACTTCGAGACAAGAAATTATAAATGTTTCATTAACCATTGATTTTGTAAACAGAATCACTAGTTTTCATTCATTCATGAAAACTATTTTTGCAGCTCACGCAGCCGACTCGATGTATTTCGTTTGTATATATTGCATGTACGAGCCCATAGATATGCGTGTAAATGGAATTATGGGTATCACTGAAAAAGACCCTCCTAAGATACGGGGCATGCTGATAAGGTTGCTGAGACCCGAGCGAAATTTTCAAGTGTTTAGTCAGAGTTGAGGCGTTGAAGTTGCTTGAACCAAAAAGTCGACAGACAAACGTGAATGTAATTAAACGCGTGAATTAAATGCTTCAAACTAGTGAGTAGTGAGTGTGAGGTGGAGTGTGGAGTGTGGAGAACATGTTCTGCTATCGATATCTTATCGTAGCTTGTGCGATTGCGGGCGCAAGTGCTCAGATCATACCGCTGTCGAGCTATTGCCATAATGTGCACGAATGGTGCAGCTGTGAGCCACAGGCGAATCTGGTGAGAGTCTATTGCCGGGATGAGTATGCAATGATATTGCAGATTACGGATACGGGCACAAACATTTCCATGAGCTACTATTCCAATGGAGTCGTCCGTTGGCTGCCGCGCTTCAACGTCACTCAGGTGGCCAAGTTTGAATTCGATGCATACAATTACTGGTCGGAGACGTTCTTCAGAGATCTACTGAATGCGCTCGGGGTGCAACAGGTGCTCCGCATACACTTTCGTGATCGCAGCCTCGAAATCCAACCCACTGAGGATGCTTACGATCTCGCTGAGGATTCAGCTACCAAAAATGTGAGCAGCTGGATTTTTAGTTCAGTGCCGTCATTGGAATATTTCAAATACGAGAGCAGTCAGCAGGAGTTGAACGAATCCATTTTCCATGCCTTCGACAATTTGACAACACTGGAGCTGCGTCTGTCTGTGCGTCGGCTGCCTACGAAGCTCTTTTCCACCATCTCGCATAGCCTCCAAACGCTGTCCATTCGAAATCCGCACATGTTCACATTCGATCCAGCTCTGATGCAGGAGCTGCAGCAACTGCGCAATTTAAATCTGAAACTATCACAGCCACCTGAACACAAGTCCGATAAGCAGCAGCAACGTCTGTTCATCTCCATGCAGCAGCTGGAGCAGTTGCGCTTGTCGCGCGCCACAAATTACTTGAATGCCACAATGCTAAAGGGTAGCCTCAATCTGCGCATCATTGGCATCAATCATAACGCGGAGCTAAATGAACTGCCCGGCGAACTGTTTGCCGATCAGGTCAATCTCATGCAGCTGGATCTGTCACGCAATGCATTGACCAAGCTGCCAGCAGAGCTCTTTAATGGCCTGGTCAATCTGTCGCTCTTGGATCTATCCAGCAATAGGCTAACTAGTATATCAAGGTGGGTGCAAAGGATTTGTATTGATTAAATGATGGCACTATTCACTATACGAATAACTCAAGCTAAATGTGTGTCCATCTATCAAAGTCCCTTAGGTCTCATGGCTTACAGTGCTTAAGATATATTATTGATTTTTCGATATGAAACAAATCCGTTTTCTGTTGAATTACTATATAGCATATATCAAATGGTTTCTACTTTTGCAAGTAACCTTGAACAGTCTTAATACCCCAACATTTTTGTTGTAGCGCTCGGTATTAGTAGATAACGATGTTAAATATTATACATGTTATAAATTCTTTTATAGGTTTGCTGGTGGTATTCTCATTATATTCATACAAATATTAAGTATGATCTTATTAATCAAAAAAATCATTTTGATAACCTGTAGTTGAGGTTGAAAATATTTTTAAAATTAGTAATTATTGAAGATTCTTAAATTTTTCATTTAACTTCATTACATTTTTGTACTTATTGTATAAGGTTGAATAGCTTAGAAACTACGAAATTATATATTTTATGTAAAATTAGAAAAAAAAGCAAATTCAAAATTTAGTAGAATAAATATCTTTATAGGATTCTAGTTCAGTTGTGTCCTAGACTTGATTATTGAGTATAGAATCTTAAATATTTTACTAACCCACACTGTTTCACAGTGAACTTTTTACAACACTGACATCGTTAACGAAGCTGCTGCTGAATCATAACTCGCTGACTGCATTGGACCCGACCACATTTGGAAATGTGAACAGTCTGAACCTTATCGATATGCGTGACACACAATTTTATGGGATGCAGCTGTGGATGCCGTTCGAGGCGCTCGTCTGCACCAGCGAGGACGTCTGTCAGTACAAGTCGAAGCACTGGGAATGCGATCCGCAGTGCATCTGTTGGGTGCGTCGCGATACCCAGCAGCTCTTCGTGGATTGTCGCGGGGCAGCGCTTAAGGAATTGCCATTGCTGCCGCACACGACACTGGTGAATACAACGCTCAAGATGCAGAACAATAGCATTACTCAATTGCCGGATGCCAGCAAGATTGTGGGCTATGCCAATGTGAGCAAACTATTTCTGGCCGACAATCAGCTGAGCAGCTTGGATGGTCAGACGCAGCTGCCAAGCAAGCTGCATATTTTGGATGTGCGTCGCAATTGGATCACAGTCCTTGACCAGCAGTTCATCAACTATCTAAACAATAATACCATGAGCCTGGTCCTTGGTGGTAATCCGTTCAGGTGCGATTGTTCCGCTCTGCCCCTGTTGGGATTTGTACGTGCACAGCCGCAACGTGTCCATGATATATCAGACATTTACTGCATCAGTCGCCCGGATAAGCCATTTCAGCAGCTGGAGGTTTTCGAGCTGTGTCCCTCGTACGTTCTGCTCATTGGATGCATTATGGGTGGAATTGTGATTGTGGTTTGTTTGATCAGTGTTGTCTATCTGATCTATCAGCAGGAGGTCAAGATTTGGCTGTACAATCATAATTTCTGTCTGTGGTGGGTGTCCGAGGAGGAGCTGGACAAGGACAAAACGTACGATGCCTTCATATCCTATTCGCACAAGGACGAAGAACTAATTGCGCAATTGCTGCCCAAGCTTGAGAATGATCTGCACTCCTTTCGTGTGTGCCTCCATGGACGCGATTGGCTCATCGGCGATTGCATTCCCGAGCAAATTGTGCGCACGGTTAACGACTCGAAACGCGTCATCATTATCCTCTCACAGCACTTCCTTGAGTCCGTGTGGGCGCGAATGGAGTTTCGCATTGCCTACCAGGCAACGTTGCAGGATAAGCGCAAGCGCATCATCATTATCCTCTACAAGGAGCTGGAGCACTTTGAGGGCATCGATAGCGAACTGCGCGCCTACCTCAAGCTCAACACCTATCTCAAATGGGGAGATCCTTATTTCTGGAGTAAACTGCGATATGCCATGCCCCACAATCGACGCGTTCTCAAGGGACAGAAAAAGCATGCGGGTCCGCTTCTGTGATCTGTCCTTAAAGGATACTTATATGTTAATTTAATGGTGCGTGGCACTTATTTCACTGGAAAAAATTAAATTAAAATCGAATTCGCATTGTTGTAATTCATATTTAATATTGACCATGTTGCAGAATTCCAAAATAAGTATTAAACGCCTTTCGCTCAGAATAAAGATTCTCCTTTAAAGAGTCCTCAATGCACAATTCCAGTTAGTTGGAACTACAATTATTATTACGATTATTACAATTACAATTATAATACATATTCAATAAGAAAATCTTTTAGCGTTTTGTTTGTAAGGTAAGATTAGAAATCGGATTATAGATTCGAAAAAAACAAGATTTTTTGTAAGTGAAATTAAGAATATAAAATTGGAAGCTATTTAAAATTGTGTTTTTTCCCCGACTACGTTTTTCTTTATCACCTGCCTTATGGTTGTTTTATCTGAAATAGTTGTTGTTTAATTAACTTCAAAACGTATTCCTTTTTATACTGAAAAGCAGTTCCGAATATCAACTCTTATATTTTACATTTGATTTGAGTTTTTTTTAGTCAAATTCCAGTTGTCGTGAGAGTTGGCTAACAAGCCATAAATTTTATAATTTATCGCAGAAAACATTATTTTAGTGGCTGAGTTGCGACAAATTTAGTACATGATTTAAGATAATAAAAACTCTCTTTAATTTGAAAGCCTTGGAACGGCTTTATTCAAAATTAATTTTTGTATATTGTTGATTCAGCGATAGACAAAGAAAATAAAATCAATAGCTGCTAAGTTAACATATGAGCCTTTAATTACAATAAACAATGAGCATATATACTGTTATATATATATGTATGTATCTATATATGATAATCATTTGAGCGCAGCCACTTTATATTGTCATTTAACCAAACAGCTATTTAGACTTATATTGCTTTCCGTTCAATAAACTAACTTAAATATTTATTCAGCCACATGCTCCACAACGGGCCTAACGCCAACGTCAGACTCTAATTATCCACTTCAGTAATTGTGGTGGCCTTCGCTAGGGCGTCAGGAAGTAGTGCGGGTCGGGTGCTAGAAGAGCACGAGAGCCCAAGCGAATGCCCATGGCAAATGCTGGCCAATTTTCACCCAGCTAGTGAATAAAGAAAATAATAAAGAAAAGTAAAACAAAAAAATGAAAAAAGAAATTTGGCAAATTTCGCTTTTACTCAGTCAGCCCTTCTGGCCGCAATTGCTTGGCCTTTTGTGTGAGTGGTTAAGTGGGTCTTGAAGATTCATAGCCCACCCGCCGCCAAAAGATTTGTGGGCGTTTGAAAGTGTCATAAAGCAAAAGGCATTGAGGCTAAGACAAATACACAGTTTAAACTCTCAAATTAGGATGTAATATTATATTTCATATTGACATAGTTTAGCATATCTTTTATGGCCACGTAAATTATGCTTGCATTTTGTTTTAATTATTGAAAGTGTAAAATGATTAATAAATAACATTTGCGCTCATTACATGAAGTTTAATTAATTATGTGCTTAATACTTTACAAATTTACCCATTCATGGAGCTTCATCAGTGCAGCTACATGAAAACAAGCATCCATGTTTTTTTTTTTTTAAGTTATGGCAAGCTCAAAGAGTCGAAGGAGTAAATGGAAATTGATTGCAGGACTGACACTTTGCTTGTACCGCAGCGGCAATCATTTCAGCTCATTTTTCATGTATACCCATATACGGCTGTCGGTCCGTTCGTTCGACTGTCCGGCGTAGTTATCAGAAGCATCTGTTTGCAGCTGCTCTTCATTTATCATAAGTTTCGAAAGGGAACTATAAAAATCTGCTTGTAGCTGCTGTAGCTTTTTTCAGACATTTGCCCCATGCCTCCAAAAGTATACGACCGAACGTGACCTGCTCGGGCGTATACTATTTGCGAGACTGTAGCCGATGACCCAAAACAGTTGCCAATAAACGGCCAAACGTCGAGTATGCACGACACACAAGGGATTTAAGCCGACATTATAAGTTTATATATACAAAAGTGTGGACGGGTAGATGTGTGGGGTTGTCTATATATGTATTTTTGTGTGTGGGTGTGTCCCTTACTCACACCGACCACACACACACACACACACTCACGACATAATAAGGCATCGACAGCGTTTCATTTGAGACATTCAGCTAGCCACACACAAAACATAATAAACGAGCATGAAAGCGTATATGAGAGTATATATATATACATATGTACATATATATATACATAGATTCGATATTATTTGCTGACGACTGCAATTGTCTGTGCTGGCTGCAGTTGCATTTGATTGCATTTGATTCAATTGCCGGTTCTCACAATTTGTGTGGGTTTCATTTATCCTTTAGAAACCGAATGTTATTGGCTGGGTTAAATTTATAGTCAGCCTGCATCTGTTACACCACAAAAATATAAAATCAAACCTACAGTTTAATAGAATTTCATTTGATGCAATTGATTTTTTCCACATTTATTTATCAATTGAAAATAACATTAAACGGATTTGTTTTTAAATATTTTGTACCCAATATATACAATTTATATACAATGAAATCAAACTTAATTGATATTGTATTGAAATAATACATTGACGTGTTGGCAAGGTTTATTAGTGAGACTTGGCTTTAATTGCTGCCAATTGCTTGCATCATTTTTACCAGCTTCAAATGCTAAATATATAAAATGTAAGATATTATAAATAAATGACTCGGCGAAGATATTCGAGCGATCAGTTTCAATGTGCAACTGATAACCGTGAATCTTGTCTGACGTGGTCCAATGTATTTGTTGATAACAAAATGCCAAAGTTCAAGAATCGAGATTAACCGCTATAGCTTTGTGCTTACATTTAATTTAATTAACAATTTGTTCTAGAAGCGAGCGTTCAGCAAATTATAAAATATGACAATATATTTGAGCATTTTCAATTTCATTTTGCTGATTTGTGTTTTCATAGAAGTGAGCGAACAAACAATACAGCTTGACAAAGACCAACATACTGTAAGCCTAACGTATACATTATAAAGTTTAATTATATTGATGCCAGATAATAAATTGTACAGCTTTGCGTGGATTCTCGAAAAAATGATGAAAAATGCGGTGCGCATTGCTACAAAGTAGTGAAGCCTCTTTTACAATATGCTGTCCTGGTAAAATCGAAGGAAAAACAGTTCGATGAATCACTGATTAAAGTACATGATCTAGAAACGACTGTAAAACATTTGGAGACGACTATTAAGGATAAGGAAATCCAATTGGAATTGCAACTGGAACTGAGCAATGCCTATAAGAAAAATAATGAAATTAAAGACGAGCTATTAATCGAAAAGAATAAGCAATTGCTGGAATTACAGACGCAGATCGAACGCCTAAAACTGAATCAGATCTCAGAAGCACAAGCTAAGATCCTAAATCAATTGAAATTGGAAGAACAAGTTGAGATCTTCGATCGAGGTAACGTCCTACAGAACGATAAGAATCAATTGCAAATAGATAACTTAAATTCCGCTTTTGTAAATAACGATATCAGAGCAAATCTTAATGCTGCGAAAATCGATAATCTGGAAGAAAATCATGATTTCATAATTGATAAATATCTGGGTAGCAATTGTCTAGGAAAGTTGAGCGATGTTTACCTGTTCAAGGTGCCTGGCATAAAACACTTTGCGGTGCCCTGCGATTCGAGTCTGGCTGGTTCCGCTGGTTGGACAGTGATTCACCGTCGTCAAGATGGCACCGAAAACTTTAACCGCAATTGGGCAGATTATCGCTCTGGTTTCGGCAATTTGCGTGGAGAGTTCTTCATTGGACTCGAAAAACTGCACTTACTAACTAAATCACAGCCACATGAATTGTACATTTATCTGAATGATTTCAATAATAACACTCGCTATGCACGATATAGTAACTTCCTTATTGGCAAAGAAACCAATTCGTATGAACTTGAAAGCTTAGGTGAATATTCTGGTACTGCGGATGATGCCTTATTGCAGCACCTGAATAGTAAATTTTCCACACCTGATCGATCCGTTGAAAAGCCACTGAATTGTGCGGAAATTTATAAATCTGGCTGGTGGTTCAATAGTGGATGTTATCTCTGGTAAACCAATGACAATGCAACTAAATACGATCTCATTTTTAATGTTATGTTTTTTTAGTAATCTTAATGGACTCTATAATACACGGAATGTTGACAATTCAAATGCAATTGAATGGAGAACTTGGCATTTTAAACCACTTAAGTTTGTACAAATGATGATCAGACCCAAAACTAATTAAATTTGTAAAAACACAAAATGGACTTCTTCTCCAAATAAAATTGCATACTTCATGTTATTTTCCCAGCTCTGTTTTATTTCCAGTACCCTGGGGTCACTGTAAAAATATATAAATATTAATCTTGAAATGGCTTAGGAGACTTTGTCAAATTTGTCAAGACAACTAATGTGCTGAGTTTCATACCGAAAGTTATTAAGCAAAAATACAAATAATCTCATTTTGAATATCATAACAAATTGGAAATTGGAATCGATTTAATGACCGACTTACTTATAATAAGAGCAATAAATTAATAAATTATTATTGACCACTAATGAGATATATTACTAAACAAATCGAAGTTTAGATTGCCAGATATACATACGATAGCCACAAATAGAATTCAATTACGTTATGTAACCATGGCGAATCCAATTAGGTGTGCATTCAAAAATACTATATAGTATTATCGATATGAAAAATCATCCTATTCTAGCCCAGTTAACGATTATGCAAAGTTGCTGCACTTAATCGAAATTCGGGGCACTGCAACATCACGTAATTTAGAATTACGTCGGAAGTCCAACTGGTCAGTTGGGACGCTCCTGATAGGTGCAATAGGAACTCGAACCGTAGTGAAAAGTAAATTAAAATCTAAACCAACTGCTGACGGCTGCAATCGCCGCAATTGCCGTAAATTCCCGCCATCTGCCATCGGACATCGGACATTAATCCACGCATTTGTCTTTGATATCACAAATAGTAGTTCTCAATGTCAACAAAAAGGAAACCAAAAAAAAAGAAAATTAATCGCTCAAACCACACACACCTCTTTTACCCACTTTGTGTGGCACATTAATCAAAAACTCATTTTGGGTGGCCAAGCGCTCCTTCCGGCTGAGGCCTAGTCAGTGCTTTCAGTCCGCAGACCCAAGTGATTAGTTGTGCGTTGTGTCCGCTGCAGTTCAGTTCAGTTCGGTTTGGATCGGTTGGTTTTTGCCCAGATGCGCTTGCAAATTGCATTGAATTATTCATTTTTGGACCAGTGCAGACGATTTGCCTGCCTTAATACTCTATTCCCAACGGCAGAGAAGAGTACAATGTGTAGATGAATATCAGTATTATAGTTATCGCTAGTGGTACAGTGGTAACTTCCCGAGCTATTCTAATCTACATATTATTCGAAGTATGGCATTTAAAAAAGCTTAATTTTCTTATTTCAATTCTCAATTATCAATTTTCCATAGCTTAACATTCGGGATATACAATTTCAGACTTTGAATTGCTTGAGCGATGAAATCATATATAGCTTGTCACCTATATCCAAATTATCTTATAAATGTCTTTCGAATCTATTTTGGGAACAGAGTATCTTCCGTTCTGTAGTTGCCGACTGCTAATTTTTTGAGCAAGTCCTTTACTTTTTTTGGGGTATAAATTTGCAGCGTGAATTTGACAGGCGGGCGTGGTAGATGTTGGGCGTGTTGGCAACAGCACTCTGGCAATTAATAGCGCCACTCGTGGCATTTATCTTCAGTGGCAGCCGAAATTCGTTGCACTTGCCGCACTCGCTACGTCTTGAACATGAAAATAAGCGCCAACACAAAATAAATTGATTGACACCTCGAACAAAAGCAATTTATTGAAGACCCAAAATACACACGAGTTCATTCATTATTGAGTGGTAATTCCCCAAACATTATGAGCGACCAAACGTATATCAAATAACAAACAATTGTGCACGCAGTGGGGTAACCTAAGCCAAAGTCAGTTAACAGTTCGAGTGGATCGAGTGGTTCGAGCAGAAGGGGCAACGGCAACCACTTGTCTAACGCTCGAGTGCAAATTGGATTAGCCAGCCACAGAAGAAAACAAGCCAGAATAATATCGGAAATGCTGGAGAGAATGTTGAAGCTGAATGCTCGTGATCTGTTGGTATGTGAATGTTCAATATATTTTTTAAATCCAATTAATTTAGATTATAGATGGTATTAGAATTCAGTCAATGAATATTGGTAACACACTGAGGAGTTTGACACAACACCCTTTGTAAATAATATGTATCTGTCTGATTCCGTCTACATTTTTATGGAGCGTTGTCCAAGTGAACCGAATCAAAAATTGTATGATCTGTACACAATTATTTTTTATACAAATGTCTGTTCTTACAATTTTTTATTTACAGTACTTGTCAATCTGATATCAAGTGTCAACAAAAAATTCTAAAAAATTATTTAAGCTTGCCTTTTACTACCCCTCAACACAAACATACATAGGGGAACACAATTAAATGTAGATTAAGCGACAATTTAAGTGCATGTAAACACTATGTATGCAAATACCATTTAAGTAGAGGTTTACTTATTAAATCAGTAACCGCACCGAATAAACAAAATGATCAATATGTGGCGTAAATAATAAATGACTATGCCATATATAACAAATAATAAAATGAAAATTATTATAGCCTAGCATTATCCATGATCATCATGACAAAAAAGTCTTTATAAGATTTTCCGGATATTTTAAACGTCTATTGATACTCTTATTTCATATTCGATTTGTTTTCAAAGAAAGTGAAAGAGATTTTATTGATATCAATAAATTGAAAGTATGTCAAATCTTATTAAATTACATTTTTTTTAATGCAAACTGCGTGAATTTAAATCTTTGACTGTGCATTTGTTATACATATTAACTAGGTATTTAAACTTGTCATTGTATTTTTATGTCATCTTGAATCGGCTTCAACGAAAACAATTGAGCGAAAATTTGAAAAACAAAAAACGTAACATTTTTGGGGGACTAGTGTGTAAACATAGATAATGGAATCTTTCTTAAGATCATTGGGTGATTCTTAGTTTAGTTTCGATTTGGAGCGACCGCGACCCAGCTTCTTGGCGCGCAGCTTGGACATGTGCGACATGACCAAATAGCTGCCCGGCAGAGCGAGAAGCAACAGATACACTTTCACAAACATAACCATGTCAAAGGTCGAGTTCCATTTGTTGGGCATATCAACGCTAAAGCGTTTCGTTTGCTCCAGGTAGGGTATGCTGCGCAGCAGTATAACTCCCTCGCAGATAATGCCCATCGGATAGAGCGGAATCCAAATAGTGTAGCGCAGCCAGGTGAGTAAGCCGTTCTCCCGTTTTAACAGCTGGCTAACATAGTAGGGATACCTATGGAGCCAAGGAAAATGTGAGTTGCTGTTAAATTTGAGATGAAGATTACGCACTCACCGCACCAGTTCCACTAGTGACCATATAATGAATACATAGAAGACCACTGGCTTGGCATGCATGCGCGGCTCCATTTCGATCATTAGGAAGAGTATAAAGTTGCGCCCGGAGATTTGAAAGAACGGCACCAACGGGCTGCCCTTAGAGTAGCCAAATAGTGGATGCATTACCTCCATATATTGCATCAGTTGTACAAACTTAAATGATGTGCCGACATACTCGTACGTATGCTTTATGCTAGCAGGTCCGTCCCGGATATAGAGCACGCCCATGATGATCAGAATGTGCAGATAACCAACAAACATGGCCAGATTGTAGATGACCAAATAAACCTTCTTGGCATTTTCTGTAAAGTGAGAATTACGTGAAAAGGTAACCCACTTGATGCTTAAACTGTATTTGAAGTGTCTACAAATGGTTGTTACGACAATTTGAAGTAACAACGGGGTAACTCCCCGTTTAAATGCTCACCCCGAATATAACCGATTTCCTGCTTCTGGAGATTGTTATATTCATCTACATAATCCTCGCGCACATCCCGCACATCGCGCCTTTCTCGATCTTCGCCCGGCGGCTCGTTAATCTCACCATCGTCTTCGGTACGCCAACGATCGAAGTCAACCCGAAGCCAATGTGGTTTCTGTGGCGTTGCCACCAGACGCTCCCACCAACCCGGATACGTTTTGTTTATGACCAGCTCAATCTTGTGGTCTGTCACAGTAAGTGCGGGGTTCTCATCATCGACCTCCTGATAGAAATGCATCTGAAACTTGTATGCATTCCGACCGCGTGCTCCAACACCATTGGCTCGGAACGACAGCGTTGTGGGGGTGAAATCCGCAATGACGCCCTGAAAGAACATTTTGGATGCTGTTTAGAATTTATCGATTTTTCGCTATAAGCGACATATTTTTACTTGAACTCACTTGTGCATCTTTGAGGTCCACCTTCAGCAATAGCGTGTACTTGGTTTGCGACCAATACACAAATGGACTTAACTTGGTGGATATCATTGGACTTGCATTAGACAAGGGTGACATTTTTTCTTTCTTTTTTAATGCGTGGGTTTTGCCGACTTTTGCCGGACTTTGAATAGCAAAATGTTATAAGCTTGATATTTAGTAGCTTAAGCTTTTGCTTGCAACGACAGCAACATTAATTTACAAGTCATTTTCAACAGGCAAACGCTTTTATTAATTTATCAATTTTTTTTTGCGATTGCAAAACGTCAAACAAGTGATTTTTTCAGCGCACAACTTGTAATTGTTTAGCATGCGCAGGAATATACAACATTGTCAGCCTTGTCGATAGTTTCTGCTCATTTCGATTACAAAAAGTCAGCTGTGACTGTGCATACACTTAGCAGCTGACTGCTACGGCACTCGCAGCTATGCAGCAACTGATTTACACAATTGGGCGCCAATATTCAAAAATTTGATAACGTCTTTCGTTGAGTAAGGTAAATATATAAATATATTTTAATGGTTTATCATGCAATATTATATTTTAAAAAATTATAAATTGCAATATATATATATATATATATGTATATATATAATTTGGGAATCATAATCTTGTTCCACTTAAATTTTTCATAAATTATATTTTTGGCCACTCTATCTTGTGTGTGTGCGGGCGTCTGTGTGAGTGTGTTTGGGAGGGTGTCTATAAGTGGTTTTGGGTCAGTTTGATTTATGAGGCTCAGTCGGAAGCCGGCAAACAACATGACTGAACAGCTGAAGGCATTTTCTGTTGCGGCCAGCTGCTCAAATTTTATATCTGGTTGTTTTTTTTTTTTGTGTTTTTGGTTTTGTGCTTTTCATATCCTTCCGCCGTTTACTTCCTTCCTAGCGCTCAAACAAAAGGAGAAAACATTGGCAAAAATGTTTTGCAATTCGACAGCATCGAACAATGGAGCATACGTGTTATCAGACTTTAGGCTTAGAAACTGATTTAGTTCTTGCTAATCCCTCTCTCTCTCTCTCTTTCGCCCTTTATATGCGAACTTTTTACTTTGCAGGCATCACAACGCACATCTAATTCTCATCTAGTTTATGCACACACAAAAACAGTAACAACAATAAAATGTTGCGTTTTCTCAAGAACCGTTAGATATGGAACAGTCTGCACGCCGACCCCCCCAATCTATCTGTCCAACTGCCTATATAGCGCCATATATGCATATACATATATACACGTCAGTGAGTACGTGTGTGTGCTCACTATAATGACGTCATGCTGTTGGTGTAGCTCGCTGAGCGCCTAAAATGTCGTAGGAAAGGTAAGTGAAATATATATACATAAATATACAATAAATATATAATTGACGACAAAACATCCTATCAATTGCAAAGTTCTCAATGTAATCCCCAGAATGAATTAATAATAATAACGTTGATTAATACTGATTCCCATTTATTATTTAAACTATTTCTTTGAGACCTTGTAGCACATTATATATTGCAGATTTTTTACAAATTCCTTTATTGACGGATTATAATTATTTAACATTGCGTATACGTTTTTGAGGGTTTTTGACCTTGTGCAGAGTCATTGTTAATGACGTAGCTGGCAACTGAGCGATACGTTAACATGACAGTTACAGTTTGTTAGTTAGACTCAAAGTCGAGCAAAGTGAAAGCTTGGCTAATTTCCGCCCAACATTTTTTTAGTTATTTCAATTTTTGTTTTTCTCGTTGATATTGCTTTTGTTATTGTTGTCGTTGTTAACTTGTAAAGGTCAAGTAAACAAGTTGCTTAGCAAGAGGTAAATTGGTTGCAGTGTATGGGTTATGGTTGTTGTTCTTGTGCATGTATGTGTATGTGCACATTCATACATACATTCATATGTGTGCCTGCGTGTCAAATTATAATTGTCGGTCTGAGCATATCAGTAAATAAAAAGGACAGCAACGGTTAAAAAATATATCTTAAAATCGGTGCAAATTTGTTAAATAGTTCACAAAACTTATAAGACTTTAATTATTTATGAATTTATCTTAATTTTGACAAATTTTAGAGATTTCACTTAGATTACTTTATCTTGTATTTAAAACTGTGTATCTCTAGATTCCTGTTTCATCGATACCAATGAGAAAGTTTCTGTATTGTTCAACTCATGTATTATTTTTCAAATCCTGTATAAATAAATATGCAATAAATATACAATTCGTGTTTATAAAGTCCGATGCAGAACTCTCCGTGCACATTGCCGAATCCAATTCCAGTTGTTGTATAAGTTTTCGGTGCCACGTTGACGACGCTAAATCAACCAAGCCAAGGCAGTGCCGAATTATAGGGTAACGAAATTAAATCAGATACTTCAAACTCGTGAACATCTGCCGCTTTACCAACACAGCCTGGTGGTTCTGTTAGCTCTTCTACTATAATTTTGCATTCCAATATTTTATATGCAGCTTTCTGACTTTGCCTGCCTTTTTTAAGATTTGAGAAGTTGTATTCGATATGTCAGCATGTTTTCCCGAATATGAGATTTTAATTTACCAATTTCTTCTTGACAAAGAATCTCTTGATTCTAATATGCAGAATGTTTTTTCAAAGTTCAATGTTATTGAATGCTGATTTTCACATATTATATGTTAAGTAAGTGTAAGGGAATTCGGTTTATAAGAGTTTGAGACTGTAAATAAAAATGTAAAAAAAAAAATGAATTCAATAGAATAGCTGAAAAATGTATTACATACTTATATATACACATTTATTATAGGGCATCTGCCAGTCGTAACTTGACTGTAACTTGTCAACTTTTTTTTCTTTCCTAATTTTATTATAACAACAAAAATGATATTTGCGGTATGTTTTCCGCTTGTTTGTAAGTGTATCTCTTTTTTGTTATTGTTGTTTTTATTAAATGTCTTGCGCACGTGTTGGTAAACTAATACAAACACACTGTCGCCAGGACACACACACACACACAAACAAAGAGACACAGACACAGCTGGCAGACAGTAGCGTCGGGCATTAATATTAACGTTAAAGCAACAACAAAACAACATCAACAAAAGTCTCATCAAACATGCAGCGTTTAATACGCAAACACACACACACACAACCGACCACAGTCAGAGAGCGAAAGAGATAGTATTACAGTAGTCACTCGCAAACTAGAATGATTCGGTTTCATAGTTCATTCATTTTTGCAAATATAAAAATCAACATTTCGAATTTGTTCTTGGTCCATAAAAAAAATAAAAACATTGTAAATAAATAATTTGAAAATCTTTTTAAGTTTTCGACCATTTTCATTCTGCAACAGAGTCCACTGTAGTGTCTCTGTATGCGGTTGTGTGTGTGTGAGTTCTAGAGCGAGATGGAGCTTGTTGACATGTGCTTTTGGCTGGCTTTTCCGGTGCGTTTCAGTGTCGCTGCCATGCTTTTCCGACGCGACGCTTTTCAGTTGGCGGCGAGCGTTTTCTTCGATCAAAACGCGAGCAGCCACGCGGCTGCTTTTGATTTTGGGATTTCCGAATTTGTTCTATGGATTATTGTGCGCTCGTGCAATTTTTACACTTACGTGGGTGTGTTTGCGTGTGTGTTTGTGTGTGTGTATGTGTGTTAGTGCGTCTTAGAGAGCAGGTGGCAAGATGGCTTTGGTGGCGCACCGCATGATGCTGCCGCCGCGCCGTCGTCGCACGCATCAGCAGGTGGCGAGCAATAAGGTGGGCGTCCTTCTCGTGCCCAGCATAGCGGACTACCTCAACGGTGAATCGGATCAGCAGCAGTCGCAGCAGCAACCGCCGCAACAGCCTTCGGAGTTGCAGGCGGGGGACAGCAACACTGCCATAGTAAGTGCAACAAGTTGCAATAACAATTGCGCTACGGCTCAACTCGTGCGTTGCATGCCAAGAAATATTGTTAGGCTGTTCGCTAGCTTCTTTTTCTTCTTCTTCCACCTCAAATACGCCCCCCTGCAGGAAAATGCTACTCACTCTCACTCCCCACCCCCCACTCTCCGCGTCTGTTTATCTAGTTTACTTTTTCGCTTTTCTTTTTGTGCTTTTTTTTTTTTCTTTGGCTGGCGCCAACTTTATGCGGCTCATTGGCCTCAGACTTGGGATGTTGTTTTTGTTCTCTTCCTTTTTTGCCTTTTTATTATTTTGTATTATTTTGTGGTTGCTGCTGGTCAGGATTCTCGTTTGCATGTAGTTAAGAAAATTCCAGTAAATGCTCCAAATATTTCCTTTTACTATGTGGATATTACAGCTCGACTTAATATAAGACTTTATCCAGTTGCTTACATTTTAAAAAGTTCAAAAAATGTAAGTCTATGAATTCGTAGAGCAAAATTTAAAATATAGATGTAAGAATTCTTGACTATATCCTCTATATTTTATATTAAAAGTCTCGATAGTTAAAAAACACATAATTCTTTAAGCAACATTTAAAATTCTTCATTTGTTATGGCATTCGAAATCTATACACATATTCTCCATGTTTGTTGAGCATTGTTAGTTTCTGCCTTATCTGCATAAAGCATAATTAATTATGTATACAGTACCAATTCAATATTTAAATATATTTTCTTTATTGAAATCTAAGTTGTGTTTTAATTTTTTTTATACTGCTAACTTTAGCCGATATTATATATACAATCCACTTAGTGCAACCAATATTTTATTTAATCCGATCCATTGTCCAGGTGTCAATAATTGGTATTCAGTGTTCGTGATTTTCTTTCGATAAACGTGAAAGCAATTTGATGTCGTTCGTTACACCAAACACATTAAATATCCAACTTGTTTTTCCCCACGCTTTAGTAAATGCTCCAACGCCCCAATAGAATTTTTAATGCTATTGCCACGTAATTGAATAGGTGTCGCATTTTGTTTTGGTTTTGGTGACATACAGTTTCCTATGTATTTTCCCTGTTGGGCGTCCACAGTTGAACGGCGATGAAAACAAACAATAATTTATTAAGTAGAGTAAGAGGGAGACCTACCTATCTGGTTGCCTAACCAATCAATATGCATTAGGTCTTGGCCGTGACACGCTATATATAAAGATGATTATTTATGTAGCTCGGTGTGATCATTGTTCGAGTTGCTTGTTTAACAATTGCTTATGCTAATTGCCAAGCCATTTAAGATTGACAATTGACAATTGATGGTTCCCAAACAAAATGGGAGTTTCGTGTAACGAGTAGGAGTGTGGAAATCTAATCAATTTCCGTGTTAACATAAACGATTATTGGGTTGAATTACATACAAATGAATATTCCAGTTTATTTGTGTAACTACCAGATAGCTTTCTCACGGTAAAAACATGTTACTATGCTAATTGTTAAATTGCTCCCAGTTTTAACATTTCGATTTACCTGTTTACCACACACTCACCTTTCCAGTTTAATAACAAAATTTCGATATATATAAAAAAATGATAATTTCTTAATATTGTCAAGGCTTAACGACTTTTCATAAAAAATACGATTTTAATAATCATCGATATTGATTTGCCATTTGAACATAATATAAGATTTGGAAATAACTTTTTTCGATTTATATTTGGAATCTTATTTAACCTAATGGTCCCATCGTATTTAAAACTATGGCAACACAGAGTAACGCGTCCTTGATTCCCAGTTAGTAGGGACGACAACCAACAAGCTTTTGCAGAAAGCTCAGTGAAAGCACTAGCAAAGGAACTGTTAAAAAGCTCTCTGCAAGTATGCAAACAGGACAATGGCCAATTAGCCCTTAAGCCTTTAATGAACTACTGGAGATTTATGCGGTATTTTTGGCCAGGGGCAGACACTCAGTGGCCTCAGAGAGCCAAATGGTTTGGAGCCATAATAAATCGCTTATTGAAAATTGACACAAATTGAAATGAATGACGATGCGGTGTGGAGTTGTTGGGTTGAAATCGAGTAACAAGTCGACTTGTTGATATAGCACATTTACTTTTGTTTATGGCAAATGTTTATTGACATGGAGCCGCATATTATGTGTGCATATATCATTTACTTGTGTGTTTATTGGAATTGCGCTGACTTAAATCTATGTGTGCAACACCAACTGGTCGAGCAATCAGTTCGAGTATTGTCGACAAACGGCGACAAACTGGCCAGCTTATGGTACATCCTGGAGCCCGCCGCCTACGTGGAGGTGCCCAGCAACTCCCATTTCCGCCAGGGCGAAGATCAGTCTACGGATCTGGAAGTAGCTGAGATCATCAGGAAGGCAGCGTTAGAGCATGAGATTAAGCAGCAGCAATGTTTTATGGATGGACAACATCAAATAAATCAGAACGCAAGCACAGTCACAAATAAAACATTATATAATGTAAATATTGATCGAGTATAAGACTTACATAATATATCTTGAAATATAAGCTAACCGATGTAAGTGAAAGACGGACTAGAAGAAGAAACACATGGAAATATCGACTCTGCTAGTGATGCTGTTCAAGAATATATTTACTTTATACCCTCTGCAAGTTAATAAAACTGCAAGTATTTGAAACGATGAAATGTTTCCGATTTTCAAAGATTAGCCATAATTCAAATATGGTCATACTTTCAAAAAAATAAAACCTTCTCTGACTTAAATGTCACACTCTCAATTAATTGTTGAATTAAATATTTGAATATTCTCTGCACTACGTAAACTTCCAATTTCGATGTCTTACTGTGAGCCTGACATGTCCGAGCAACCAGCCGCCTTTGAGGTGGTGGATGGCACCAAGAAGCAGCGGCCAGCATTTTTGCGAACTGCTCATGAGCGGGCCGGCAAGGAGATTAATCGTATCATAGAAGTGGCCCAGAAGGAGCACGAGGCTCTGGTCCATGAACGCGGTATTGCAGAGATGGCACGACGAGAGACAATTATCGCCAGAACTTATCCACCATATTCGACGGACAGAGCAACCCTGTGGGCTGAATACCAGGCAGAGTTGCAATATCTGCAGGAATTGCTTGACGAGGAATTTTACTGGCAGGATGAAAATATATGAGAATATGCAAGAAACCATAAAAACTGAAGGATTTTTAAAATAATTACGGATTACAATAGATAAATACAAATACATATTGAGAATTTCCAGAAATTAAGACAAATATGACAAATTGCGAAAGAAGTATAAATTTATCAGAAGTGAGATTAAATGTAAAGTTTTATAAGCCAACACGCAAAAGTTCAGAAGTGAGCTTAAGAGACAATTGCTATGGCTCAAGCTGTCAAACTATGATGATTTGACAATTAAAATTAATGCAAATGAGCAACGAGTTTATGGAGGCCTTACAAGTTACCTAAGAATAATTATGAAACCATATAAATAGTAAAGTTTCTCTGAGCATCTCGCAACGGACATGGAAAATTGCCATAATTTATGAAGTTTGGGTTAGCCAGCGATTTGTTCCTTGCTGAAACTTTAATTAAGTTGAACTTATCTTTGCGCTACACATGAGACCAAAGGCCTATCTCTCCCTCTCTTTCATTCTCTCTCTCTCTTCATTCTCTCTTTCTCTCACACGCTCTGTTTCTCTGAGTGTGCACGCACTCGACACAAACTGTGCTCAAATATGCAAATGAATGTGGCGCTGACACTTCAAATGCGTCTTTACACCCCCACCCACACACACATACACACACACACACATACACACCTTGGGGAACATGCATTTTGGTCATGTTTACAATGTCAGCTAGGATAACATGCAGGCACATGAAAAGTGCTCATTGCAGACGAAGCTTTTGGAGAGGCGGCCTTAGCAATGTCAGCAAATTAGGGCAAAGCAATGTAAGAATGAGAGCGCACAAACAGCTGTTCGCCAGCCAGAGAGAGAGAGAGAGAGAGAGAGAGAGAAAGAGAGAGAGAGAGAGAGAGGGAGAGCTAGAGCTAGAGAGCCGAGAAGCGTACGCATGCAACGCCCACACACAGCTGACTGAGAGCATGCATTGAGCTTTTAACGAGCCTTGGCTGACTCGTTTATCGCTCGTTAAGTTACCTGACGCACAGCTTCGTGTTCGTTTGATTGTACGTCTGTGTGTATGTGTGTGACATGTAAACAAAGCGCTCGCTCTGTCACTGCTGCTGCTGCTGCTGCAATGCAGAGCAACCGAGCGACCCACTTCGTGTGGGACGGCTTTCAATTTCGTTCAACCTGAGACACGACGACATTGCCATCCTCGGCATTGGTATCGGGTTCGCTTTCAATTTCGTATCTGTAATTCGTTGCTGGCCGTTGGACGGCTCAGTCGTGTTTTTGTTGTAGTACCCCGCGCGTGTCTCGCTGTCGTCGTCGCCGTTGTCGTCGCGACGTCAGTAGCAGCAGCAGCAGCAGCAGCCGCAGCAGTTGCCGCAGCAGGACTTTGCATTGGGAGTCTTGTTACGAGGCTGGGTCCGTGTTCTCGCCTGCACTTTGCACGTCGCGTTGCCCTTTGCCTAACAAACAACAACAACAAATATATATATATAACTATTTATAAAATACTATAAAAACAACAAGAAATTTCTACACTTTTTCTACTAATTAAAATAAACGCATGTTGTTCAATTCAGTGCAATTCAAAGTGCAATTCGCCAATCCGCAATTGAGTTATTAAATGCCTTAGCAATAATTTTGTGTATTAAAAAATCGCCTTACAACAAGAAATCACGTTAATAATTCAACAATACGAATATGGCTGCCGATGCGAGTCCTGTGCATTATTCATTAATAATGCTTCAATTACAGTGCAAATGTATGGCCAATATTAAAGCGAATACGTAAAAATAAATTTGTATTTACCCGTTATACACAATAATAAGCAACTACAGCAAATTTCAGCAATTTGCTCATACAATATCTTTAAAAAGCCATCAATGTCGTCCTGGCCAATGGCGACGCTTGAGTGACAACTGTCACCATGCAGACAACAACAACAACAACAGAAATCCAAGCAGTGAAATGCAATCAATAAAATATGAAAATACAACACAGATAATACAACATAATAATATGCAATTTTGATTGTCATGTGTCCATTTTACTTCGAGCACAAATAGTACGAATCCATATTTCGATGAAAAATAATTATATATCTTTAACATACTAATGCAATTTCAATGTTTTAATTTTGAATCAGACAAATAAATATAATATACATATTGTCAATAAAAAATAAATAATTGAATTGAAATAATATCAAATTAAATTTGTATATATAAAATTAAAAAAAAAATAAATAAAAAAATGATCGAAATTAACAAATAAATAAAAAATAACAATTCCTTTATTCATAAATCTCAATAACTCGTTGAATGCCTATCAAATATTCATTTAATTATGTTTATTTAATAAATTGCATGTTAATTAATAAATCATCTATATTTATTTAAATCTGTTAAAATGATTAAAATGAAGAAAAAAAAACTAGATAGTAATAAATTTGCGTTTAATGCGCAAATAATAATAAATAAACACACATAAAATCTCTCACAAATAAAAATCCATTAATTTATCGTTGACAACTTAAGTTATTTTATATATATTTTGAGAAAATATAATTTGGTCATATTATTTAACAATCTTAAGAATATAACATTTTGTTACACAAATGTCACTTCAAATTAGTCAGTTGATATGACTCTTAAAAAATGATTATGAATTTTAAAGTTCTAGAATATTGGTATATAAATATGACCAAAAATTGATCAGACTCTTTATTAAATATGACTCGGAAACGGGTATATTAAGTCTTATGCGTATACTTCTAGTAAAATCAAAATAATTACAATTTAAAAAATAATTCGAAAAATATAATACATTTAAAAAAAAATACGTAAAATTTGGGAAACAGTTTTAAGCAACGGTTATTCCAATTTTAAACCTTACTTTTATATAATCCCCGAAAATTGCAGATTGCATGCAATATGAAAAATAATAAAAGCAAACGTGCAAAATAAGCAAACACCTAAAAATAAATGTGTTACAAAGCAAATGGAATATGAAGAGATGGCGGATAACGCTGCCACATGTCAGTGGCAACAACAACATTTATAATAACCACAACAGTCAGCAAACAGCAAATAGCAACAACAACAGCAACAACAAACCATAGCAACAACAAATTCAACAAAACTGCGTGAAAAATGATAATGACAGCCGCAACTGTGGCAGCCACAGCCAATGCGGAAAGTGATTACTTATATACATACATATATACATTGGTATATCTGCTTATAGGGGAGGGCAGTTGGCGGTTGTTAAATGAGTTAATTACCCACACAAAGGATACGCGAATAAAAATCGTGCATCGATTGTACTTTATTTTGACTCCATTAATTGCAAATTATAAGTCGCTGAGCCCGCAGCATAGCTCGACCCACATTGCGTATACGCCATGCGCCTCCCGGCACTTTTATTATGTTCGCCTCGCCCCCATTTTGTACCAATTACGCTAATATCTGCCACTTAATTAGGGGTCTGCACTTCAGTGCGAGGCATTAAAAATAAATAAAACATAAGCAAAACAACAAATGCAAATGTGAAAATTTTTGTTTGTTTGCCATAAGATTCCCATATCTTCTGTTACTGCCAGCAGCTAGTTGTGACAACTTTGTTCAGGTTCCTGTTGTTTGTCAGCACATGCTCTCCGCCTCCCCTCTCAACTTCCCACTCGACTGTTTTTCAAGTGTTGAACATAGCTTTGGGTCTGGTTTAAGGGGTGGGTGTGTCTGTGTATGTATGTTTTTGTGTGTTTGTCACACCAACTTGCCTTACCTTTGGCCTTTTTGGCAGCGTGGCAAGTTTAAAGCACGTGCAGGCGCAATTTCCAACACTCTGATAATGATATACATACTATATATAATACTCAACACATATAATTTGAGTGAGTGCGATAAAAATCCTTGAAACTAAATATGCTGTATGGAAAAGGGAAAAGTTTGATTATTATTTTAACAAAATATTTTCAATAATCGATCGTTGAAATAGTCGCTATTAGGCGACTTTGAGGATGTCAATAGATCCAAGTAATTCAAGTTTTTTGGGAATCTTTGAAATACATCAGATTCTCATTTCCATTACTAAAATAAATATTAATATTAAAATCATTTAATTTGGTTTCCTATCTTAGATCAGAAGTCTGTATCCTATTTCCAATATTAATATAAGCATTGTTGTAAAATATTTTGAATCTCTCTCATTTCTTAAATCAGAAGACTCTTCTGATGTAAAATGATTTTATATGTAATATGATATTTATTTGAGTGACTTTAAGGAACAAAGAAAAAAAAATAGGTTTTAATGCAATGTTTGACCTTGGTGCCCACGTTTTGCGGTGCCGAGTCTTTGGTCAGTCGACCTTCAAGGAATATTTGTTTTGCTTATTCTGTTCTTTTTTTTTATTTTTTTGGTCATTTCGTGCATGCGAACCATATTTCAAAATTCAATTTTAGCCACATGGCCGAGCAGCCAAAATAGTGCAAAGTAGCCCGGACACAACAACACACAAATTAAACACTCATATGTGTTTCTGGATGTGTGTGTGGTTGTGTGTGCTTTGGCCAGTCAAGATTTCTAGCTGACATGCCTGAGGTGTGGGCGGGATTTTTGTGGTTGTGTGTGGCAACCACACAACGTGCCGCCTGCGTTGGCGAACGTGGCCATAATTCAAATGATGCGCCAACTAACTACTTAATGTTATTAGAGATGTTTGCCTCTCACTTGTCGCAGACATTAAAAAACTGCCTGTGTCCCGCATTGAATGTGTGTAAGTGTGTGTTATGTTTGCCTGTTTTAGTTAACTGTATGTTGATGTTGTTAATTCCAGATGCTGCTGTAGACAGTGGCTTGGATACTCGATTCATACATTAGCAGAGAGTGTTGCAAGAGTGTCGAGAAATATCTAATATAAATAATTAATTATATCATTATATATTGCAATAAAGTAGACTCCTAGGTTAGGTAAAAGAAACTGTGTCATAAATAACCAGATCTTATTTCTGTGTTGAAAACAATCTTATAAAAATTAAGTATGTATTACCTTAAAGTAAAATCTTTGGCTGGGCCAATCGAACTATAGCAAACGTAATCTGATTTTATTTCTCTTATGTAAAGAAGAACTGAAAATGTACAGCAAAATTTGAAGCAAACCCAATTTTGGCTTCTAAACATGTCTAAAACAATCTTATAGAAATTCAGTGTTTCGTTAGATGCATTTGTGGTACATGTGGCAAGTAAATCGCATTATTTGCATTTGCATAAAACATTACCCAAATTCAGCCAGCTTCAACTACAAATCGAATTATATATATTCAAGAGTATTTGGAAATTGTTAGACATCAAGGTTTGGCTTCGCTTACTTGTTTTTCTGTGTGCTCAACTTCCTATCGTTGACATTTTGTTTTCAACATTTCGCTCTCTCCCTCTCCCGCTCTCTATCTCTATGTGTTAGCCTTACTTTCTTGTGTCCTTTTCGAGGCTGTTTCTGTGGCAGGAGACTGTCTGAGCTGCAGGTGCTGCATTTAAAATGAAATATGGCAGACATTTTTGCGGCTGAGATAAATGAGGCACAGTTTGTTTGCGTTGTGCTTCACGCTTCTGCTGGCTAACTTATTAGATTTAGCCAACTCTCCTTGCCACTTTCACTGCCAACTATTTGTTTCAATGACAGTTGAAATTTTAACTAGTTCAGCCATGCTAATTTTATTCAAAAAAAAAAAGAGTCTTGTAAATTCAAGAGAATATATTTATTATACTTTCATTATTTAAAGTTGGTTTGTTAGTATTACGCTTCTTCAATATACGGCACTTGAAATAAAAACCTATATAAAATAATGCACTAACAGGCTTGCAATCAAATGCAAAGTGCTCACTACGCTGCAATTTTTGATGCTCTTCTCGCTCCTCTTGGTCAAGTCAGCAATGAAGGCAATTAGCTTAAATCACAGGCACTGGCAGCCAATCAGGCAATGTGCAGCACTTAAAAACTTTGCACAACTTGAAATGGAGCCCATCGCTGGAAAGCCCAATTTCACTCAGCCTTCCGCTTCTCTCCTCCCAGTGAGTGTTAAGATTCTTGCAATGGGGTCATAAAAATATATGCGCCGTAACAACTTGGCAGCTACCAACTGGGTATATGAGCCCAGTTAGTTGATTCTCCTCTTGTTATTCTCACTTTTTGCATATGAACTGAAAGACCAAAAAAGGAAGAAAAAAACAAATGCAAGCGCTCTCAAATTGGAAATCTAAATTAAAGGCAGCTCGTTAGATTTTATAGCTGGCATATTTATCAGGTTACGCATTTTGTTTGTTGAGATTTTAATCTTGTCACGGATTAGGCCATCTACAACAGACAAAAAGATTATTTGTATTTGGCAAATTTACGCTTATCGACATCGGAGCTGGGGCAATAG